TTTCAGTTCCACTGCTATGGCTCAGCAGCCATCTTGGTTTTCAGTTCCACTGCTATGGCTTTGCAGTTGCTTATGTTGAAGAGTCCTATTTTACTTCATTGAAGCCTCAAAGCACCAGTTTATCACAACCTATTGTCATAACTTATATTTTCAGTATTATTGTGCATAACTTAAAGATAACTTTTGTCATGCATGTGCATGTATGAAAAAACTTAGTATTCATTTGCTTTACAACTATTCACCTTTTCAAATGTGTACCTTGAAGCATCTCCTGTGATGATGAGGAGTTCCAGGGTATTAGCATACACCAAGACAGATGCAGGGTATCATCTATGCTTTTAATGTGGCATATATTCAACAGGAAGCAGAAAAGTCACTGCCCAGTCTCTCAGAGACTGGCAAATTGTGAGAGAGGTGTTCTGCTTAAATCACTTCCATTGAGAGATGAGTAAGTGCACATCACTCATGACCCAGATGGATCCATGGGAGAGAATGTTCTTATATACTCCTGTGCCTGCCTTTATCATTTTCCAGTTTGTAGTTGTTGCCAAGAGCCCTCCATCCATCTCCAGTGCCCGTCTACTCTGGTTGTTTCTGCTTCCTGCCTTCCTCACCCACAGGTCCTTTTTTAGTCTCATCCCAGGCTCCCACTTTCAATAGTCCAGTTGGTCTCCCTGTTTACTCCAGCCACTCTCTGTGCTCACAGTAGTATCAACCTAGGTTTGGACAGCTCCAGTAGAGCCAGCCCATGTCTGCCTTGATCCCTTCCACGTTTACAATGCTTAAAACCATATGCACAAATCATTTGTCAAATAAACGGATGTGTATTGAATGACTGCACAAGACTCCAACAGGAAGACACGGGCTTTACTTCACACAATCCAAAAGTCATAGCTTCATTCTGTACTGGCCACACCGTAGGGTGCCCGAAGTTCCATAGGGGACTTTGAGGATTAGATTTCAAAGATGCTCGTCTAAGTGGCTATGGGAGAAAATGGTTTGCAACGCCATACCAAATGAACAGAGAACAGGAAAACCCTGTAGGATCTCAGCTCTGACTTACCACACCATTAGAGAGAGAGAACAGTGCCTCCTCTCTTGCCTCCCTGAGGATCAGATTCTGGTAAGTTTTGGGTAACTACCATGCCTGCATTTCTGCAAAGCAGCTTAGAAGTCACAACTAAAGGCTCCTTTCTTCTTGCTTGGTGACAATGAGGAGACTAGGTGCTGCTATCCAAACACTACATGCTCCATATGGTGGTATCACTACCATCTGTACAGCAGCTCCATGCAGAACTTCCTACCTACATGCACAAAGTGTCTCATCTGAGTCTGGTAGAGCACAGAAAACTCTCTGTTTAATGTATAGTTGTCAAGACACGTTCTATTTTGTCCTCTCTCCCATGAATTTCATAATTCCTTTAAGCCCAACATACACACTTGCCTAAAATACATGTTTTGTTTTCTTATGCATTCTCACTATTACCTAAGAGAAATTCACTTATGACCACTAAAGAGGCAGCCTTCAGCTAAAATGCCTTAATTGGGGATTTAAATGTTTCTCTTCTGCTAAGTACAAAACTATGTGAATGAGACTGGAAATTAGGGCCCCAGTGAATACAGTACAAACATACACAAACCAGCCATAGAAGAGTTAGTGGAAGGCAACAGCTGAAGCCATCCAAGTAGCCCTGTGTTTGTTGGAGTTGATGGGAAATTACTTTGGGCTGTCTTTCTCCCATTTTTTATTATTAATATGTGGCCAAAGGGGGAACAGAGTCACAGCCCAGCTTACCCCATCTCCACCTCTATTCTTTGTTTGAGATTTTCCATATTTTAACCTTATGTGTATATTAGTGTTTTGCTTGCATGTTTATGTCTGTATACTAAGTGGGTGCAGTGCCCTCAGAAACCAGAAGGGGGCATAAGATCTCCTGGGACGGGAGTTACACATAGTGTTTTGAGCCACCATATGGATGCTGGGAATTGAATCCAGGTCCTCTGAAGAGCAGCCAGTGCTCTTAGCTACTGAGCCATCTCTGCAGTTCATTTAGCTTCCCCTGTGCATCTGTAGGCTAGAGTGCACACTGTCAAGAACCAAGGAGGAGGAAGTTCTTCCCCAGATCTATCCATTCATTCGGTTCATGAAATGAAGCTTGTTTAGGAGGAGGAGAAGAGCCAAGTGAATCAGCTCATGCATGGCTCCAGAAGGTGAGGGACTCCTGCTGTGGGGCTCACAAAAGACCTGACACCTTCCTGGCCTGAGTCACTTTCTGTACCATGGCAAGGCAACCTGGGTAGAAATGAGAAGCTATTACACAGGTTGGTCCAATGCAGCCTGGCCAGACTGATACTTGGGTGCGCAAGGCAGCCAATAGAGTAGCAGTCTTAAGCCCTGGGAGAAAATGGATCTCTTCCTTAAAGATGTTCAGTAGACAGTCTCTCCTGGACAGCTTTGACTCAGAGCATGCTAATAATAATAAGCCATGAAATTCCTTCAGACATTGGGGGAAGAACCAGAGGCAGAAGAAGAAGAAGGAAAACTATAATTGCATAAGACAGATTGTCACTGTTGTAAGCACTGTAGCATAGTGTTGTGCTTCTATCACGGTCCTTTTCTTTTTAAAGGACTTGTTTGTTTGTGTATGTGTGTGACTGTAAGTACACACATGTATACAGGTTATGTTTGAGTATGTGCCCACAGAGGCCAGTTGAAGACATCAGGTACCCACCATCACTCTCCATACACTCCTTTGGGGCAGGGTCTCTCCCTAAACCTGAGGTTTGCATCTTCTTGACTTGAAATCCTGCCTCACCCTGGCACCCTCAGAGCTGAAACTATAGGCATTTCCCAGAATGCCTGGTTTATTATATGGTTGCTGGGATCTAAACTCTGGTCCTCAGGGCAGTAGAACATGTGTTCTTAATGGCTGAGCCAACCTACCCTGCCTCTACTTTCTCTTCTGTGGCTGTTTTTTCCTCTGCTCTATTGAGACAAAGTCTTATGTGAGGCAAGCCGACCTTGAATTCCTGAACCTCCTGCCCCTGGATACTGGGATCATAGGTGTGCATTTCCATACCTAACACATAACCAATCATTCTCTAGTATCAAGAAATGTTCTATCGACATGAGACTTTAATAAGAATAAACTTGCCACATACAGTCACATGAAGCATCACCTCACTTAACAGGCACTATTTTTATCTGTATTTTACAAAGGTAAACTTTATAAAACCATCCCCAAGGAAAGGACAGGGACCCTGTAGTGACCTGAGGGATCAGTAACCTCTATGTCCTATATGGCAGCCAACGTCCTGATCCTGGGCACAGCATACGTACACATGCTAGACAGTCATAGACACATGAACATTCTTAATAATGAGAAGTCCAACTTCAGATTGCTTCTCCTGGAGGCTGTTTATGAAATACCTCCTTATTCTTTTTAAGCAGTGAAAAACCTTCACTTTTCACTGGAAAATGCTGGCTATTCAGTGATTTCACAATTGTCTAAAAATACTTGGCTGGAAAGAAAGATCTCAGAGCTCCCCAGGGCTCTCACACTCCTCTTTGATTTAGTATTATTTCTCAAATGTCCAAATCTGGCAAGTTTTCAGTGTGCTTCTGTCTACAGAAGGCAGGCTCTAAAACGCAGCATGATGTGCAAGCAAATCCCCTCCTCTGCATGCACACATGTCCCCTCACACAGCACACATGGATGTGTGCACACATGTCCCCTCACACAGCACACACGGACACGTACAGATCATTTCTCACCATCATGGGAAAAAAAGCAAACACCCTTTCATCGTCCAGAGCTCTGAGCATCCAGGACTTTGAGGATAGAAAATTGCTTCTGTGTCTCTTCTGAAAACAGAACATGCTACTGTTTGGTTGGAAAGTAATTCAGAAACGTGTATCGAAACTCTTTAAATCTGAAAGCTCTCCCATTCAACAGTTCACCAATAGGCAATTGTCTCAAGGACACCATTAATAACAGGAGCTACTATAGTTACAAAGCTTTCTGAGTGCACACACACACACACACACACACACACACACACACAAATTCAATTCCAGATGAACAAGATCAAGCAAAATAATGTCTGTGTGTCGGAAAATTACTATAATCAGAGAAAGTTACATGGTAAAAATACTTTGCCACTGCAAGATGCTGATTGTCAAGAGAAACAGACCTTAGATGAGGCTATAGAATATACTGTACTCTCTGCAGTCTGACAGTTGCCCCCCTCAGCTGAGTATCACAGAGTTATCCTTAGCATATCATTCTCTTGTCACACATCTTACCAGTCACCTCAAAGTAAAAATGATTTTCTCTACTAAAAAAGAAAAGAAAAAGAAAAGGGACTCGACAGGGTAGCTAGATGACTCAGTGGGTAAACCACTTTTTATGCAAGGATAAAGGACCAGAGTTCAAATCCCTGAAGCCACATAAAAAGCAGATGGGTAGGGTAACCTACTTGTAATTCCAGCTGAAGGCAGAGACAGAGGTTCCCCTCAGCAAGCTGGCTGACGACACCAGTCCTATTAGCTCTGGGTTCAGTCAAGAGACGCTGCCTCCATGTACAAGGTGAAGGTGATTGGAAGAGACCTCCAATGTCAAGCTCTGGGCTCTACATGCACAGAAACATGTGAACTCACATACATGTGAGCATGCCTACACACAAGCATGTTCACCGCATACGTGTGTATATGTGTTTATGCACAAAAGTAACAGTTCTCTTTCACTAACAGACTCCAGAAAAAATAAGTAGAGGGATAATATTTAGATATGTAGATATATACTGTTCCTATATGTATATGTGCCTGTGTTTGTATACATGTGTGTATATATGTGTGTGTGTACATGCATGTTCACGTATGAGCACGCACACACATGTGAATCTTCGTGAAGACCTACTGATGTGCGCCCACTACTGTCTCAGGATTTCCAGGTGGTACAGGCTTTGGATCTGCTCACCTGTACCATTTGCCTTCATCACAGTGCAAAGCCACAAGCAGCTGCTTCCTTCCCGGGAGAGGCTCTCTTGAAGATTTTGCTTGAGTAGAAAGGGTGGCAGTAGAGAAACTCAGTGTAAGAGGCCTGAACCTGTGAAAATATAAACAAGACTGGTGGTTAGGCAGCTCGGTGACCCTAATTAACATAATCTGACATCACTAAAAAGATGAATACTCCCCCAACAAACACACATGCATGTACACACATGCATGCACACACATACATGCACTCACATATGTCTGCCCACAACTGTACAAACTCTTACACACACACACACACTCACACACATGCACACACATTATAATTTTTAAATAAAAATAATTTTTTAAAAATAAAACGAATTTAATAGATAACTCCTCTCCTGCCTTGATTCTGATATTTCAGAGAATCAAATACAAGGTTGTTAGCTCACTCTAAGAAGCTACCAGGTGAACTAGAACTTTTGGATTAAAATTCCTCCCTTTTTAAAGGTTGATTTACTTTTATTTTATGCATGAGTGTTTTGCCTGCATGTATGTATATGCATTGTGTGTGTGTGTATGTGTGTGTATGTGTATGTATGTGTGTGTGTGTGTGCAGTGCCTGGAGAAGCCAGAAGAGGGCACTGGGTGCCCTGAGACCGGAACTATAGATTGCTGTGACCTGGCAGGCCAGGTGAGTGTGGGACACCTATCCACTGCTGGCCCTCCCTTCAGATGCTGGTCTGCATTTTAGGCAGGCAGCACCTCCTGCCCCGGCCTCCATCTCTTGTTTGATTGTAACCCTCATTCTCATACACCCTGAGTTCTCACTCACTTTGAGTTTGTCTGAGACAAAAGTGTTGAGGCTGTGACAATCTGCCTGCCTGTGTACCTGCGACATCACTGTGTACACGCCAACTCCTATCTCACTGGCTCCAAAGGCTACATGTTGCTCAAAAAAGGAACCATGGGCTGCCAAGGAAAAACCTTTTCATAATAACATCTTTGGCAAATGACCCACCTTGGAAGCATTAGTCACCGTTGGGACAATAAATACAGATTTTTCTGAGAGGTCACAGAGCCTGCTCTGGAGGATTCTCTTTCATCCACACTGCAAGATTTCCTAAGGCTTTAAGCAGGAATAAAAGCAGCGTGGCTGTCTTATGCAACCCACTCCACGGAGCTCCCAGTATCAGCCTCTCCCTATGGCCTCTTCTGAGCAATGAACCTGGGGACTTCACTGTGAGATCAGAGGTTCTACCTGCTCCTGTGTGACCTCCAGATACTGCCTATGAACAGAAAATGATGAGGGCCAGGAAGACTGTTTCGTTGATAAAGTACTTGTTGTGCAGTTACAGGAAGACTTAAGTCCCGCCCTCAGAAACCGAGTTTAAAAAAGAAAAGTCAGGCATGGGGCATGATTGCAATCTCAGCTCAGGGGAGGCGGAAGCCAGCAGACCCCTCGGCTGGTGCTCAACTAACCACAGACCCTTCCTCAGAGAGCACGGATGGTGGGTCCTAAAGGACAACACCAGAGTTTGATCTCTTTCCTCTGCAGACTCATGCATGCATGTGCACCCAAACACATGCACACCCATATATGCATGCACACATGCACACATACACACAAGGGACTATTAAACGCAATAGATAAAAAAAAAACCAGGGAAAACTCTGACTTACGCTAGAACTTTAGAAATATTTGTCCTGTACAAAATTTGAAGCCTGCCAAAGAATGTCTATAACAAATATATCATCTTTGAAGTTCAGCACAAAGGACCGACAGGGACCTAACTGCCCTGCTGATGGACTCGTCCCATTTGTTGCAGGATATGATTTTAGGTTGTTTGTTTGTTCGTTTTAAATAAAGACAGGTTCTCACGTAGCCCAGGCTGATCTCTAACTTACTGCGTTCATGTCCCTGTTCTCTACGCTCTACATTCTCTCTACAATCTCGTTCTCTATGCTCTACATCCTGCGTGCTGAGATGATTGACATGCACCAGCCTATATGGATTATAGGGCTTCAAGAAAGCTAGGCAAGAACTCTACCAACTGAGGGATACAGCTCCTAAAATACAGTAAGTAATTCTATCGTGCTATGTGCAGTGTCTGGTAGCTAGATCCCCACTGTGTTTTTGTTGAGATTTACCAAGTTTGTTTTAGAGTAACTCTACTTTGCTCACTTTGACTCTGTAGGATTCCATTGTGTCACCAAACTGAATCAGCTTGGCTTAAACTTGGCTTTGCACTAGGGACAACTAAAATCTGGCCCAACACAGCCTTTGCACATGGTACAACTGTATCCCTAACTGATATATAAACAAGCTATAATCTATTCTAAGAGTAGAGTATAGCCATATAACCAAGCATCTAAGGCTCAGCCAATCAATCACAAGAGTCGAGATTTAGCCAATCATAGGCTGCCAACTGATCAGACCATACCTACATAAGGCCAATGGCAACTAGAGCCAATCACCTCCTGTCTGCCTGTCACTTCCTTTTCTTAGGCTATTAATATAACCTGTAAATGCGGTAGGGTGGAGCCTTCCAACCCGTCTTTGTTCTGGAATGCTGCCCGGTTCTAGAACCTTTTTTCCTCGCTTAAGTAAACTTTGTTAAATTTAACTCATGTCAGTTTTTCTTTTAACAGTTTCACAGTGTGAAAATATATGTGTGTGTGTGTGTGTGTGTGTATATATATATATGTATATATGTATATATATATATATACATATATACATATATATATATATTCTATTGATGGACTTTCACAATTTTTTTTTTCAGTTTCAATTTTTCCCCCTGTTAGAAACACACTATGTCTATTGGAAGCAATACACATAAGCACACATTTCCCTGGGGTTCAGCCTGGGAGTATGTGAACATACACTATTCCACGATAGCATCAGAGTCATTTCCAAAATGAATATATCAATTTTCATTCCTCCTGGCAGTAAGCTGCTTATATTTTTAAACTGACCAGTCATTTCAGAATCAAAAAGATGGGCCCCATCGGCAGCTGGTGGATTTATTTGCTGAGGGCAAGATTTGAGCATATACTATGTGTCTTTCTCACAGTAGTAAGTTTATGTGTCATCCACCACTGGTGAGTGGGTGACTTGCCAGGATAGGTAAGAAGCATTAGCTAGTGATTTGGAGTGGAGGGAGAGTGAAGATTTTGAAGGTCCCACATGGCTTTGTTCCACAGTCGTTCAGTTCTTACGGTGATGCCAAAGAATATTCCAATAGGTGGTTTGGGTGTGGAATCCCAGCACACAAAAGGTAGAGGCAGAGATATCAGAGGTGTAAGGATATGTTAAGTCACAACATAGGTTCCAGGAAAACCTGGGCTATACGGGATGCCATCTCAATAACCACCAAACTAAACCAAAACAAATAAACAAATAAAGTAAATAAAAAGAATGTTCTAAGACACATGAAGTTCTAGGGTCAACACTGCCCACTGAGCAGCTATATATATTATATATGTTATATAATATACTTATATTATATATTATATAATAATAAAAATGAAGTGATAAAAAACTTGAGGCCCTTCTTTATGTTTTCATTATTAGAGAGGAACTAACAGTAAGCCAGATTAGATGAGAAAAAACACTTTTGGCTTTATTTTAGAAATGAGAAATTAAAGACCTTGTAATTATGTTTTGCTGGGCATAGGCTCCATGGGAAAAATCTTCCCTCTGCATAAGACCAAAGTCAGAAGGTAAGGCTCCTAAGCCTTTGATGCTGGTTTAAAGAGAGACCCCCTGAAGTGGGCTACTTTTACAGGGCTCCTCCAGGTACGAGGTAGACCTGGCTGGGTCTGAGTCAGAGGTAGCAGATAAAGGTTTAGCAAGACAAGATGCACTGATGGTCACTGGTCACCATCAACACTAACCAACATAAATCATCTCATGGTTCTTCCTCCCCTCTTTATACTGCCATAGCACTAAGTGGTCTGCCTTGTGGTTCTGAGTCCCCTTCTCCATCCTGCTCTCCTTTTGACTGGAACCCTAATCTGACAGGGAAACGCCTGAATCACGATATCACGGTAAGGGGAGAAATGGCTAACTAATAATTGTAGAGGAACAGGGGATATTTCTGGAAAACTGGGTGTTGAGAGAAACTAAGAAAAGCGAGTTATGGTACGAAATGCTTTTACGTTGCCTGTTTGGGGTTTCTTGGCAGTTGCCAGTGAAGTCACCTCTGTGTAGGCCCTCACATTGTGTTACATTCAGAGAGATCTTATTTTTGTTGTTGTTTAAAATGTATTTACTTATATATTCCATTCATTTGTTTATTTGCTTACCTCGTGTGCCTACATGTGGAATGCAGAGGACTATTTAAGGCAGTTGGTTCTCTCTGTCCCCTACATGGGTTGCTGGAATCTAATGTAGGAAGCCATGCTTGGGTTAAAGACACCTTTATCTGCTGAGCCATCTCGCTGGACCACAAGTCTTTATTTTGTTCACATTTCATAGACTAGTAAGCTAGAGCCCAGGTGGGCATCACCCGGTGAGCTCTTCCTTCCTGGTGAGGGAAGCTTTAATTGCCTTGTTTATTTTCTATTTAAAAAATGTGATTTTAAAAGCCACCCTGGGGCAGGTGTAACACATTTGGCAGAGTGCTCTGCCTAGCTTATACAAAGCTCCGGATTTAATCTACAGTACCACATAGAACAGCCATGGTGGTACACACACCGGGGGGCGGAGAAGGTGGCGGATCCGGGGTGGTGGAGGGCGGAGGAGGAGGAGGGGGGGGGAGGAGAGAGGAGGAGGAGGGAGGAGGTTGAGAAGATCAGGCTCATCCATGACTACACAGAATGTCAGAGGTCAGCCTGGGATACACGAGACCCTGTCTTAAAAGAAACGAAAGCCACCTTACGATGGGATTTAGTGTCTGGTACAAGTGCATGGGCACAGGTGGTGGAAGAAGGAGTCTGTGACTTCAGGTGACAAGCTAACAAGACCATCAGAATCACCATACTGTAAAGGAGACTTGTGACAGTGTTGAATAAAGATCCTGTTTAAGTACACCTATATTCCACAAGTTCAAAAATCCATTGACAAGTGACTTTGTTGTCCGATATGATATGTAAGTATGTTGGCTTGTTATCCAGTGACTA